AGGGATGGACCTGTTTTTTCCGTTCAATTTGTATATTTTTTGCATGTGCATGTTTGGGCCACTCTATAAGCCTGGAACTCAAACGCTACTCCCGACATTTCGAATTGAGAAAGCTTTCTGGATGGGAAGCGAAACGTCTTTAAACTTGGAAAACAAAGTCCAGTGGTTTGTTTTTTTAACTTTTCTTTCCACTTTTATGGAACCCTAATGTAGAAAACAAAAAAGGGTACTTGGGTGCATGGTTCTAAAGAAACATAATTTAATATGTATAACCTGCACTCTGTGATGTGGATAAGGTTGTATACACCAAGCATGCTCATATTGTTTTGATAATCCCTTTTGACTCTAAATAGAATTCCAGAACTGGTCACAATGAGCACACATTCAGAGACGTATGTGCCAAATGCTGGTAGAACCACAAAACTATCTGAAAGCCAGATTACAACTGAGGCAGCTAGTTAATAGAGTTGAAAAGAGCCTGACCACCCTGTAACACCTCATGGTAAAGCCACAGCTAGGTCTGGTCTAAGACCAACCAACTAAATAAGCCATTCTACAGTGAATCCTCCCCAGAGCCTCCTATTAGAACATTCCCAATTCAACTAAATGCAAAAAGGGACACGAGGTAAGAAATATTCCGGCAAAAAAAAAAAGCCTTTTCATAGGAATAAACCTCAGTTAGTGTATTGCTTAAGAGCCCTAAATTGAATCTGATGTAGAGTTGTCTTCTACAACTGTAACTGATCCCCTCCATGTTTATTTCAATCTCTTATCCAACTACTTATAATGCTGTTAGTACTTAAGATTCCCGAGAAAACACCATTGTTATAACAAGAATCAATATAAATGAGGTTGTTTACTGGCACATCCATCAGTTTTTCAGCTACATCTAAATGCCTTAGCAGCTTTAGCTCCCGCTTCTGTGAGCACCAGAGCTTTTACCCTTTGTGGTATAACTTTTTTGTTTTTTTCATTTCTTTCCACACTGCTTCTTGGATTTCGTCATTATTTTACAACTGTGCACGAAGGTACTCTTTTGCTTAACACCATTCTAATTTTAAAACATTTCATATAATGTGACTATGCCCCTTTAAAGCTACTTCATTTCCAAGCATTTACATACTGTAGCTGTGTTTTGATGAAAGGACAGAGATGAGGTCTAAGCACATACTGACACCAACTGATTTCAAGAACAAAACATCCTAATCAAGACATTACCAACCACACCCAAACGTTAAAACATTGCAATGACTTGAACTGAGATTCAACTCTTTTGACTTAAAATTATTTTCTAACTTTTCTCAGAATATTCTTGTTTCTTGGAGCTATAGAAAGCAATTAGAATTTTTTTTTTAATTAGCAAAAATGCATATTTTGAGAATCCTTAATTTGTATCTAAGGAAAAATCAAGTCATAGTGCAATACTTCTGTCAAAGGTAACGTATCAAAACATCCCACTGATACAAAAATAGGACTGCCAAAAGTTTGCATTTACAGTGATAACAACTTACGCAAGCAGAAATCTCATACCAGCGTAGCAGAGCAGAATGTCTAACTACATGTCAATGAGGTAAAGTAAACCACTTAGGAGGGATAAATACAGAGTTGCATTTATTTTGACATTTACTGGTACCAATGTATGATAAACAACCATTAAGGGCAAAAACAAGGTAATTGAGGCCAAATGCTTCAAAACAGAGGAGCACTTTGGCTTCTTTTATAGACAGGCAGGAATGTGTGATTAATTGTCTTCAACTGGTAGCTTCTTGCCCCCTTTCGCTTTCTCTTCATTGTTCCCTTCTTTTAGGTACTGTATATATCTTTGCGAGTACCTTTTCTAAAAATGTTTTCTTCAAAGAATTCTCAAAATAGACAGCAGAAACATTCACTTATAAGAACTTCTCTTTCTCCTTTTGTTGACATTTACGAGCAAACTATTGAAAATATTTACTTTTCCCGATAGAAAGCTTATTTTGTTTTCTCGGAAGGAACAGTAGGTTTGCCAAAAAGATAAATCATTGTAGACCTTTTTTTTTTTTTTACCTAGTTTATTATAGCAACATTAACATTAATTAGAAAACAGCAACTAGTAATAGATGAGAACAAAATGAGTTTAGAAATACTTTGGCACATTTTTGGTTGTCTAAACTTATATTAAATTCCTTGTTTGTTAACTCAACACACCAGTTAAACATGAGACAAGCAGCTCTTGAAGAATCTAATCACACAACAGAAAAAACCAGAAAAAACCAACAACCAGTAATTGCTAAGGACCCAGCAGTGACCTAGCGTCAGTTATATTAGAGACTTCAAAGAGCTGGAGCAAGATGTTAAGAGATCCTAAAGGAGATGATAGGAAAAAGTAATCTTGGGTAATCATTTCAAGCGTGCCCAATCTGATGAAGATGAGATTCAGTCAAGTGTGAATATGTCTGCTCTGAAATACAACAGCTGCCATTGTCTGTCAAAGACAGGGACGTGAACACAAGTGGATGTAGGGATGCCAGCTAAAATCTGAAGGTAATAGTCAATAACTATGCAGGAAAATGGAATCAGATTGTTTAACATGTTTCATGATTACAGATAATCTTGGTTTTGAAATGCTGAAATGTATTTATGATGTGTATTTTCTGTATTTAAAAATGTTAAAGATCTTTACTTTTTAATAGATTTGTGACCTAAATGAAACTGTTCAATGTAATATTTCCTAAGTGGTATTTCTTAACAAGTGATCAGCTGTTGAGCTTATAATTCCAACACTTTAGCTTAGGTCCTAATAGAACCATAACATTTCCAAAATGTGGTGGGATGGTCTCTGCAGTGTCTGGCGTAGGTCTTCTGAGGCAAATTGAGAGGACAGCACATTACCAATATAGAGACTTGTGAAACACAACAGGAGTGAAACTTTATCTATTCTGCACACCTAAAAACTTGTGTTAAAACAGAAGATAGATTTTGCACATTGGCCTCTTATCAGCACTTCCATCACAGCCTAGTAGTTTTCTCTTTTTTATGTAAAATGTTTTAATGCTTTTTCTTCTCCCACAATTAAAATCCTCTCCACAAACCATTATGGCTTGGTTAAAATAATAAGTAGCTCATATTGCATCAATTACCCTCTCCAGACCAATTAAGACTAAGAAGAGTTTAGTGCTGTTGCAAATATACATCCATATAGCTCACATTGGTTCCCATCAGGGGAAAAGCATGGACACCCCTAAATTGTATTTACATTTTGCTGTATTCAAGTTTTTATGTCAAAACACACATGTTAGGTTGTCATAGATCAAGTCCCAGGATGGTATAAGTAGTAAGAGAGAAGCAAAACAGTTTTACGTATAATTCCAGAATTGTAAAACGTATGCACCTCATTCACAGAACACCTAAAGAATAGTGGAATTTATGTGGGCAACTTTTTGCTGGCATTTTGCTTGTAAACAAATTGTTTTGCAAAAAGAAAAAAAAATGAATCGATTACTTCTCTGGTGCTCACAGAGAACAGAAGGGAATGTATAGTTTTATTCAGAATTAGTTGGGTGATTTAAATGCTTTTATATCACTTAAAGTTAGCTGGTAATTTTCTTTGGGTTAGAAACTTGTCAGTGATAGGAAAAGTAGAATGTCATGCACCATTTAATTTTTACCAATAGTCTTCTCCCAGAAGACTGTTTATCTTTTCACAAGCTCATTTTTTCTCTGGTTTGGGATTTCATAGCTTAAACTCAAGTAGATAAATAATTTTCCACTGTCATTCATTTATAAGGCGAAAGAACACACCTGCAGGCCTTTTAGTGATTGCTTTAACATTTGATGTTTCAGCCATGTTTGTCTCGATTTTAAATCACTAGATAACTATTTATAAACTGATTGTAGGAATAATCCAGTTTTCAATTAAATGTAAATGCACAATATACAGCCAAAGTTAAAGTTTTATCTGAGAAGAGGTGTGGCCACAAAAAGCTTAACAATTAGTTATGGCTGGATATACCTTAACTTTGAAAGCACATGTTATGTTTGTGGAAATTTTTGAAGCCGGCGGGGAAGAAAACTGTTTTCATAGCTGCTAAACAGTTACTTAAAAGATACAGTTAAATATGATTTTGTACAAAAACAAACTATTTTATTGCAGCTTTCGCTATTGTACCAAATGTACAAAAACACAACTTGACAAGGTTAAAACTCTACTTAAGGTCTAGAATTTTTTTTAATAATTATTTGTAATGCACTTAGAAGGAAAAAATACACATCATAAATAAATTTTTGAATTTCAAAACAAATATTATGTTTTCAGCCTAGGGGAGTAATAAGTGCTATTGTTAAAGTGGCAGGATCAATGTATTACAATTGAACATACAAGTCAGCTGTTGCGTGGTAATTTTTTAGATACAAGACTTTACAAGGTTTACTGAGAATATTGTTAGCTGAAACAGCTGCTTGCTACTTTGATTATTTTATGTGGTATGGTTTCCTCATTTATTCTACCCTAAATCATTTTTCAGCTTCCTGGGAAAAAGCAATAAAGATTAGTACTGAACATTTTTATGTCTTTTTCATATTGTGCATGACATAGAAGTAACTGTAATGCAAGGGCTTACATTTTATTAAAGGTATAGGGGATCACTATTTGGGTATTGTAGGTGAGAAACCTCAAAGTCACTTTTAGAGTAACTGCACAAGTGCAAAACAATTCTGCATGCCCTTTCACCCCCCGGGGGAATGCTTAGCATGCACGAGCCTTGTTGACCTTATGTACACCTGTGTTTATGGTCTAACTGCATCTGCATTGTTTTTAACTTAAAGTGATGTACCAATAATTGGTGCCAACATTTTACTAATGTTCTTAAACAACAGTAGTATCTTCCTTTACATCCAAAATGAAGCTCATTAGGAGCTTAACCCTGTTCATACAAGACTTAGATGGATATAATACAGTTTTTAGAAAAATAAACTCAAAATCAAGTTCCTAATATAACCAAATTAGACATTTCTTCCACACTCACCTTGCTGAAGTACTTTGCCAAAGTATTTGTTGTGACTTGTGCAGTTCCACCGCCGGTACCTGAACTGGTACTGACACTCTCTGACACCCAGCCTTGCTCCTTTGGCCACCTCGCTGACGATTTCTGGTTGAGTTTGGCACAACTCAGCCTGCTTTCCAGCTAGGCGCTTTGCCTTCCTGCAAATGCTGTTGGGATCCATGACCAAGGGACTTCCCACTGCCCTGTAGAAGTTTGAACCATGTTAGAAAGTACAGTAATATACAAATTGTCATATTTTATTTTTTGATTTACAAATAAAAAGGAAAAAAAAAACAGTAGCAACCTCAAACCAACAATAAATAGATTTTCTTTTTGGCTCCTAAGCCTCCCAGCTCTGTCCACCACATCTCAGTTTTGGCTGCACTGCATCTCTTGAATGAGGAAGTGGTAGACAACAGCATGCAGGATCCCAAAGCTTTGAAATAAGACCATATTTTTCTGTTTGATTGCATCTGGAAGAACTATTCGGTCCTTACAAAGTTGCATGTTACATCATTGGACAACTCTCAACAGAAAGTCCATTCACAATCTCTCTTAATGCTGCTGAGGTTGATTTTGGTAAACCAGAATGCAGGTTTTCTAGATTTTCAGACGATAGAAAGTTTTCTGTATTTGATCCGGCAGTCCCACTACTTAAACCACATGTGGCCCCTAAGTCACCCCAGAGCCCCTTTTAAACTTCCATAGCTTAAACCTTCTCATTCAAAAGTATACATACTTTATTACAGATATGGGGAAAAAACTTGTGAGGGAAAAATAAATAAGGTTGGTGTAAATATTTGAAATGTTAACACATATATAGATTCATCATTGTATAAATACTACTCCAGACCTCCTAGAAAGCTATGACAGATGATTGTATATAATATAGATAAATAGTTTATTCTAACTCTTAATGGGGAAAAGAGGCTTGGATTAACAATCTGAAAATGCTGCCAGGATCTGGGGTATCATTTTTGGCCACAGGTTCTTTATTTTTAAAGAATTATATTTAAAGCTTTGTTTCCATTCTCTATTTTCAATATATCAGCCATCAACACTACAGTGAACAGCAGTGCAAGCTCTGAGTTTGTAAGGATACGTTTCTCACAGCATCCCACTTTATTCTATTGTGCCCTATGTTGACGCTTTCATCTGATCTACAACTTTTGTGGAACATGCATGGCAAGAGAACGTGAGAATTGAAGAAAAGGTGCTCCACCTCATCGTTTTTCATTCAGCCTTGGCCTTGTAAATCGCACCTCCTGATATCCTTCATCTGCCTTGAGAGTTTGTTTTAAGAAGCTGAGCAAACACTCTCACCAGTCCTCTCCCCTGGCGGTCTCATGCTTAGGGAGACATGTGCATACGCAGACACACACATGCAGATCGCTGTACCTCTGATAAATAATAAGAAAAGCTGACATTTCAGGGGATGACAGAATGAAAACACCTTCTATAGGGAATCTTGTGCTAGCCTTGGATCCATACAATCATGCTGGGGAAAAAATCATGCATGGAGGTTGGGACTGTTGCGAATACTTTTGCAAGGCAGTGTACAATTAAAACAAAAAAAACACACTGTAAAGAAAATGAAATAAAAAAGTATAATTAAACAAGTTGGGAAGTAATACCATGGATTAAAAACTGCCATTGCTACACATGGATTTTAGGGTAAAAAATAATCAACAAACATATTTATTTGTATGCTCCTTAAACAACCAATGGTTCAATCCTTTTAGGTTTATTGTGTGTGTTGACAACATTTCTATGGAAACAGTGCAATCATGTTATCGTCATAAAGGCACACAGACAGTCAGTGGGTGTTAATTAGCAGGTAGTGCTACAATATTTAGCAACACACACTCCACCTCTAAAAACCACTCATTACCCAACAACTGCCGTCAGGCACCATGCGTTTGCTTGTCTGCATGAGTAGGTGTATGTATTTGTTTGAAAAAGTAATAAGAAACAAACTCAGACAAAGCTCAAATCAATCTTTAGGTAAATACTTTTTCATCACAGTGCAACTTGGTTGTTTCGGCTTGTTTGTTTTAAGCCCTGAAGTGTTTATTTACCAGAGGCAATGATTGGAGGCTGACTCCATTTAAGAATCATCAGACTATTTTTTTTATGGTTGGAGGTGTAAAGTTGTAAAAGTATTCAATCTGGTGGATGGTTTTCTATTTTTATTCCTCAAATAGCTCTGCTCTAAAAGTGGAATGACATGTGATTTTTTTCACTGCAAGTTTCTTTCACACTTCATCTCACATCAAAAAGTTGCTCACATATCATAGCACATCATGTGATAGAGTAAATTTAAACTCATCCTAATGGCTGCTATTAGTCAAAAATATCTTATGTATCTAAGAAAGAGTAAGTTAAAGTAAGGGTAAGCTCAGAAGAGTCCAAAACACTAAGGAGCCATTTTCAGCGAAGTTGTAACTAGACAAAATAAGAAAACTAAATTAAAGTTTACGCTTTGTTAAGACATCCTGCAGTGTCCTTATTTTAAGGGAGGGAAGTTGTTCTTTAAGCAGTCTGTCCAATTAATAATGCAACTTAAACCATCAACAATCCAGAGGTTGTAAATATGCACTGTCTGATATGTAAACTCTAGAATTATTCAGAAAAGAAATGTCATCACACAGGAGACCATTGATAAAAGATGTAATTCTGTTTAAACATACAGTATTTTGGCTAAAAAGAGATCAAGTACAAAGATCTGTTCTTAAATTACCTATCATAAAGAGACCACACATAACCCATAAACACAACACAAATATTGCCTTTCATTCATCCATTTGATCGATTTCTTTGGGGAAAATTACAAGATCAACATACAGAACAGCACCTCAAACATGCTGTAATGTATTGGAGCACGTCTGATGCTGTGGGCCTGTTTCTCTTCAGAAGTCCCAGATTTACGAAATCTTTGAAACACTGGAACATATAAAAAATTCAGTCAAATCTACCCATATACCAGAAAATGGATTATTGCTAGCAGGTGGCTCAAAACAAATGGCACAATCTACATAGAACTTGTTTATCAGTCATAAACTCAAACTTTTTCCATGACCACACCAGCCAAGACCTAAAGCCAACAAAACATTAAGGCTCCAGAGAAATTATGGAAAGAGAAATATTGCTCTATGTATGAGAGACTCAGCAAAGGTTTTACAAGATATTAAGAGCAGGAGAGCCAATAATTCTGATTACATGACTCCGTTAATATCCAAGAATTTCATTACAAAGTATTAGCATGAGATTTTTTTGAAAATGTATAGAGCCAGTGCAAGTGCAGTAAAATAATATATCATATGCTGTATCACACATGTCTTTGTTTGTGTGGGATTGTACTATTTGGTATTATTTACTATTAAGTACTACTGTTGAGTACTTCATCCACCACTGGTTTGGTGTGCACAATATCAGGAAACCAGTTTACAGTATAACTGGTACCGTCTCTTGTAGTTTACTAATAGTTTGTGCAATTTATGGGAATTTACTGACTCTATAGACCTAACTGTTGTTAGGTTCCTAACATTCGCAGTCTGTAATAACATGAACACATTTTGACATGTTGATTAAAAATCTTCATCAGCATCTTTTTTCCAGCATGAAATTATCTTGATGTAGGTAAAATATCATCAAACAGAATGAACAACATTCAGCTGATGTTATAGTGACATATATTGATTTTTATGTGGAATCAACGCTTCATGTATTGTTCATTTTATATTTTCCGTTGACCACAACAGTACAAGCTGAGACCGGATCTGGCCCAGGGGCCATAAAATGCCTGCTGAATTAGGATAAACGTTTTCGCCATATTCCCCCGGAGACTGGGTATGCATACCAAACACACTGGACATCCTTAGAAGTTTGGAGGCATGATGGGCATGATGAGAGTTGAAGAGCTGGATTGCTGTGGTGAACTCAGGTGGAAAAGAAGACCAGTGGAAAAAAAGGGCCAAAAATAGGATGACTGGTTTAAATGATGGGATCAACTTCCTGTAAATGCTCAAGCCTCTTTTGCCCATGTTTGGAGAAAAAAACTTTGAAGTGTTCCACCTTAAACAGTATTGCGTGGAGATACTGCAGTGTAGTCTCCAGAGAGTAGACATTAAGACTGAAAAGAAGAGCTTAGATGTACAAAAGCAGTGATGAGTAAAAGTCAGTATTGATTACACAAATACATACTTTAACAATTAAACTAACTAATCAGCAGAAATATATGCAATGCACTACTTGAGCTACTGATTTACTTTGTGGTCGACACAAATATGTTTTTCTAAAATCATTACATTACACGGTACCCTGCCAAAGCTTTCTTATTTCAAACATGAGGCGAAAACAATGAAGTTCAATCCATCCTACTGGGATATTATTTTAAATTGGTGCTGAAAGGAGTATAAAATGCATAAAATGAATTTAAAGGATATACTCTATATTTTCAGAAGTTTGTTAAAAAAAAATACGGAAAAAAAGGCAAAAGATTCAACCCACTTCAAAGGATATGTTAATTTTCACCTGTAACAAGAGCTGCAAGGGTTTTGTTATCAATTTTTAACTTTATCCAGAAATTCTCCACTGGATTTGGATCTTGACTTTAACATATTCACTTTTAAACATATTAAGATTATTTCTTTTCTAAAAGCACACTGCAGCTCTGTTTGTATTTTTAAGGACATTGTTTTGTTAAAAGTCAACCCCTTGCCTCTGCCTCATGCTTTTGCAGGCTCTGACTGTCTCTCTTCCTGGTTCACCCTGTACTACCTCCTTCCATTGTACCATCAGCCTTGACAAGCTCCCCTGTCCCTACAGTAGATAAATATCCCCATGGAATGATGGTATCACCACCATGCTAGTTTTCTGCGACACAATTCAGTTTGCAAAAATCCAGGCTTGCTTTCTTCTCCATACCCATAGCTTATGGGAATCTTTAAATCACTCCAACTTCATTATAACTTTATCCCTGATCTGTATCTTTCTCATTATTTATAAAGCTGTTTGTTTGCTACCTTTCTTAAACAAACGTGTCTCTTTTTGCAAACCAGCTATATTTGTACTATGATTAAATTACACTAATTAAATTACTTTCCTGTTCACTAATATAGAAACTTTCCATAACAATTGTTTGCAACATACCTTAATAAGTGTGTCAAACCCAGAATGAGGAAAATAGATTGAAACTCAAATA